TAATTAAGACTGCTTATTCCTCTATAATTAGAGAAATTGTAATTCTAGTATATTAAGAACTTAATATATTAAAACTTATCTTAGATTTCCTAGTTATATTCTTTACAATCTGAGTTGTTATATTATAGTGCTTTTATAGCAATATACTTAGCAATATCTTTATTCTTATACTTATGCTATTTCCTTATCTTTTGTTACACTAAATAGATAGGATCACAATAATGATGATGAAAGCTCTTGATTTCTAGCTAAGGGACGGGCCTAGAGCCCGTCTCTTATACATGACGAAGACGGCTGCTGCCGGAGGCGGCAGTCCGTCGCCGCTGCACAGGGGCCGGGGCCCTGTGGGTCCCGGGGACTGGGATTGTGGTTATAGGGCTGGCGATGTGGTCTGAGGAAGAAGGGAAAGTTGTGTTGTCTAGGAAATGCCCCTAAATGTGACATACCCCCCCAGCTTGAAGGTATTCAAGCTGTTATTCTAGAAAGAATTCCTATTGGAGGGATAGCTAAAATAGCTAAATTTTGCCCTGTTGAGAGGGACTGTTAGATAGCTTTAGATAGTAGGAAACTGCAATAGAAAATAAGAGTAAATAGAGGAAAGGCTAGTCTTTGGTATCTGACTCAACCTGCGATTTGATAACAGCCCTGATGTCAATAAGACCTAGCTGCCGGACGAAGTCTTTGAATTTCTGACCCGGCAAGGCTTTGGTCAGCCCGTTAGCTAGCATTTGAGCTGTTGGTGTGTATTTGATCTTGAAGAGCCGCTTTAGATATCCCTGTCTAGCCCAGCAGCTGTGGATGTCAACATGCCTGAGGGCGGTCTTGATCCTAGGGGTCTCGAGGGTCACGAGCCGGATAGTCTGTTGGTTATCACACTCAATTTCTAGCTGCTGGTCTAGCTGAAGTCCTAGCTGTTGGAATAGCCGTTGGGTAGCTAGGGCTTTCTTGGCTGTGTGTGTGAAGGCAAGGAGCTCGGCTTCCGTTGAGGAGGTTGTGACTGTATCCTATTTCCCGGCTTTCCAGCTGATAGGTCCGCCAAAGAGGGATAAGATTGATCCCTGGGATGATTTCCGGCTTATCCGATCATCCGCGAAGCTTGCGTCTGATGCGATTCGAAGGTCGCTGCTGATTTGGGCCGTAACCGTTATCTTGGAAGAGCTAGGAACGTCAGGGTTGCTAGGAAGGTCCCTGCCGTCAAATTGGATCGCTAGGTATCGCGTTGTGTAGAGGTAGCTGATGACGCCGGCTGCGATCCGTTGGTGATGGTCTGAGGGGTTGTTCAGATACTCGGCCAGCTTTGAGGCAGCCTTTGCTATGTCGGGCCTAGTGATGACCGCGATATAGTTGATGGAGCCGACCTTTTGCTGGAAGAAGAGGATTTGAGCTAGCGTAGCCTGAATCGGGCTTGCGGACAGGTTGTTAGTCGGCAGAGGATTTCCCTTGAAGCTTTCCTTGAGGACGATGTTGAATTTGGCCGCTATTTTCTCGATGAAAGAGTCCTGACAGAGCCACAGCTTTCTAGCCGGTCTGTCCCTTAGGATCCGGATCCCTAGGAACCAGGTTAGGTTGCCCAAATCCTACATTTGATACTGCGTTTTCAGCTGCTGGATCAGCTGCTCGGCGGCTAGCTGGTCTGCAGTCCGGTACAGCAAGACGATGTCATCCACGAAGAAGAAGACTGTGATCCAGCTGTTATTGCAGATACAGGGGTCTTCATTAACTTGGGTCAGACCTAGCTGCTGGAAGGTCTGCAAGAGGTCTCGTTGCCAAAGTAAGGGAGATCTGCGGAGCCCGTACAGGGCTTTCTTTAGCAATAGCAGCCAACCGGGACGATGAAATCCATCAGGATAGCGGATATAGACGATTTCGTCAAGGCGGCTGTTGGTAAAGGCGTTGATGGCGTCTAGCTGCCGAGCCTCGAGGTCGAATTTGGCGGCAATGGCCATGAGGACCCTGAATGACTTCCCTGCTAAGGTTGCTGCATAGGTCTCTTTATCGTCATACGGCTAAAGATCCCCTCTAACAACTAGCCGGGCCTTGCATTTGATGAGGAACCCGTGCTTGTTGAATTTGTATTTGAAGACCCAGGCTACGGGCAGGGCTTTTCCGTCGGCTTCTTCCTTAGGAACAGGCTGGAAGGTCCCTTGAGCTTGAAGGTTGTCAATTTCTGTATGACAAGCCTGTTTGAATTGGGGCCCTAGGGGGTGATTTTCCAGGTCCTTGAAGGTCCTAGGCTCCGGAGGAAGTGTCCGTCTGTGGACCTTTTCCTCTCTTCCAGTGTAAAATGCAGTGGAAAAGCTAGCCGGCTGCCGGCCCTGTTGCCGTTGGGAGCTTCGAGAAGCTGGTCCGTATATTTCATCACGTCTGCGGCGGCGACGGCGTTGCCGAGGCTGTGGGCTAGGCTCCCTACTGGCTGCTGGGCTAGCTGCCGGACTAGCTGTCAGACTGACTGCCGGGCTTGCTGCCGGACTAGCTTCCGGGCTAGCTGGAGAGCTGGTTGCCCTCGGGGTCAGGTAGGGGCCTTCGTTATCGAAGTTATCAAGGTCAGAGGTCTCTTGATCCTTTGATTGAGTGGGCTCGGGGTCGCGGTCTTCATCGAAGTCAGGATCTTCGTCATCGTCAGGGTCGTCAAAGTCAGAGTCATCTGGGCTCTGGTGTTCAAGTGAGACCTCAATCGTTGATCTGACCTCTTCGTCATCTAGGTCTTGAGCCGCGGTCCCGGCTGCTAGGAAGACGGTCTCTTCCTCTAAGTCGGATTCAATATGGTCAGGAAGCTGCTGCTGTAGCTGCTGTTGAATGGGGCCGGGATTGTCCTTTGGGTCATAGAATATATGTTCATTGAAGGTCACATCCCTGATCCTTCGGACCTCTAGTCTACTAGGGACCCAGATCCTGTAGATATTGCTGGAATCGTATCCAACAAGATAGCCGATTTCTACGTGGGCTGCTGTCTTGAGAGCCCGTTTTTGGGTGCCCTGTAGAGCTTCCTTAGTCAAGGGATAAGCTCTGCATCCATAGGCCTTGAGATGGGCAAGGTCAGGCTGCATTTTACCTGCGTAGCCGGTATCCCTTCCGTGGGTTTCCAGCTAGTTGTGAAGCTGTTCGAAGGGAGTCTTCCAGTTGCTGGACTGCTGAGGCGATCTGTTATGCAAATAGATAGCTGTATTCCAAGTCTCGGGCCAGAGGTCGTCTGGAAGGTGGGCTCCAAGGCCTATAGTCCTAGCCTTGGTCCCTATTACCCCCCCAGATCGCTCGGCAGGGCCATTTTGAGCAGGTGTGTAGATTGAAGTGGGCTCATCCTCTATGCCTTTGAGAGCTATCCAGCTGTCGTATTGAGACCGCAGAGCCCTATCATTATCCCTATAGATCCTGCAGATCCCTAGGCCGTACTGCCTTTAGATGGAAGCTTCGAAGGATTTCAGGGCCACTAGGACTGCTTCTTGAGTCGCCTCTAATAACAGATACAGGAAGATCATGCCTGTGTATTCGTCCTTGATCAGAAGAGCGGCTGTTTTTCCGTTATAGCTTGTAGTCAGGGAGAAAATGTCAATGTAGACACGCCAAAATGGCCTTGGGGCCCTAGCTTGAGGGCTCCGTCTCGAGACCTTCCTTTCTGCCTTGCCGAGGGAGCAGCTTTCGCAGTCGATTTGAATAGGGCCCTTGATCCGGGTCCCTGTGGTCTGAAAGACTAGATGTTCGAGGGCAGGGGCATTCAAATGACCTAGCCTAAGATGCCAAAGGGCAGCTTCGGCTGTTTGAGTCGGCTTTGGGTCCTTAGACGATTGAAATGATGATGCCGGCTGGTCTGACTGTATGACCTCGTTAAATTCGATGACCCATTGACGATGCATTCGTCTAGTTGAAAAGATCGTCTCTGTGCCTTTGAAAACAGTCCCTGTAGCCGGGTTCCAATTATATCCCTTCCTAACTAGAAGGTCTAGGGAGGCGATATTCGTGTGGAAAGCTGGGATGTAGGCCACTTCGTTCAGCTGGAACAGCCCGTCTTGGACCTGAAGATGAACCTTACCGTAGCCTAGTATTTCCATCTGGAAGCCGCCTGCGTAGAGGACTTCGGGCTCCCTGGAGGGCTGATATTCTAGGAAACGGGATAGGTTGTTGCAGATGTGGGTGTCTGACCCAGAATCTAGGATAAAGGAATCCTTCAATGGATACACCTTCATCGCTGAAAAGGATGACTGCCCGGGCTGCTGACCGGGCTGTCGTGTGGGCTGCTGTCCCGGCCGATGACCGGGCTGCTGAGCCGTCTGCGGGGCCGTCTGCTGAGCCGTCTGTTGACCGGGCTGCTGGACGGGCTGTTGCTGTGGTCCTAGGCCGAGGGAAATGCCGGCAAAGGCAGATCCTTTGATCTGCCGGTCTTCGGGGGTCCCTGCCTGTTCCTCGGGCCTAGCTTCCTTCCTCTGGGCTCTCTCGATAGCCCTGTCAATTTTTTCCTTTATTTTGGGCTCCTCGAGCCGCTTGTTGATCTTAGCCTTGATGTCTTCTTTCGGAGTCCATCCGGCCGGTCTGATCCATGTGATCAAGTAAAAACATTCCCAATAGAAATGCCGTTTTCCGCAGAGACAGACGGGCTTGTTCGAAGATCCTAATTTTGCTAGCTTTAAAGCTGGAGTCGGGGCTGCAGCTGTGGCTGGAGGCTGTATCCCTTGAAAGCTGGAAAAGGCAGCCTTGCTAGTAGCTAGCTGTGAGGTATGCCTTTCGAACATATTACTGATCTTGATGCCGTCAGGGATTTCCTTCTTCCATTCCAGTCCGTCATTAGAGGCAAGATCCTCTATTTTTGCAAACCAGTAGCCCGTAAAGTCAGGGTTGATGTCAGAAACGGCTTTGAGGAAAAGTCGGGTTGGTCTGATACCTTGAACGTCTAGAAGGTTGATTTTCTGGGCTTCTGTAAGGATCTTCTGCCATCTGATAACCCATTGGGATAGATTGGTCCTTTCCGGGCTCTTCAGGATGCCCTGGAATTGGGTCAGGATCGTGTCTTCCTTGTTCCAGTCCGTAGAATGAGTCTTATTTTTAAGAAGTAATAGCTGCTTAGCGATATCGTCCTCATCCTCGCCCTCGATTGTAGACTCATAGTTGCTAACAGTCTTTGAGATTAGCCGCTGGATAGCTCCTAGGGCCTTGACCTTATCCCGATAGAGCTTGAATTCTATTGAGTATTGTTGCAAGAGGGCGTCTAGGATCTTGATCTTTTCTGGGCCTAAGTCCCTGACTAGGGTCACGCTGGGGTCGGCATCTTGTGCTATAGGCCTGTGAGGAGGTCGCAAGGGGTCCTTATCCTCCTTAGAAGGATCAATGATATTCCAGACGTTAGCAGCTTTAGCCTGCTTTTGAATAACAGAAATCTATCTATTCCAATCACCGGGGCTTTGCAAGGTGACCCGGGAAGAGCTTTGTGGATCCATTGGGTCCAATAGATAGAAGGGAGCGGCAGCGGAAGCTTTTGATCTGACCTAAAGAGGGATAATAGATCGGTCTCAGAAGGTAGAAAAAAGAGGGCTCAAAAGTTCGAGCTAAAAGGAGGGCTCATAAGAGGGCTAATTTAATAGCGAGGGCAAACCGGGCGCATAACTGTTACACTGAATGGATAGGATCACACTGATGATAATGAAAGCTCTTAATTTCTAGCTAAGGAACGGGCCTAGAGCCCATCTCTTATATATAACGAAGACGGCTGCTGCTAGAGGCAGCAGTCCGTCGCCGCCACATAGGGGCCGGGGCTCTATGGGTCCCGGGGACTGGGATTGTAGTTATAGGGCTGGCGATATGGTCTGAGGAAAAAGGGAAAGTTGCATTATCTAGGAAATGCCCCTAAATGTAACATCTTTTACTATTTATATATATAATATTTTTTAGTTTTATAGTTATTAATAGTATTAGTAGAGTTAGTATATTTTAGTAGAAAGAGGTCCCCTTTATTTTCTAAGTATATAATACTAACTCCTATATATTATTAAGTAATATAGAAATACTTAAGTTCCTCTCTTAGATATAATTTCTAAATTAGTATATTATTTATTTATATAAGGTAGTAATTTTAATAGATTTTATCTTTCTTATATATTTAGTATATATAAACAATATATAATACCTAGGAAATTTCTTTATAGTTAGAATATATTACTACTATTCTTAAGTTATTATCTTCTTATTCCTTTAAAATTATATAATATAAATTTCAGCCTAGCTATATATTGTAGGTATAAATATAAATAAATTTATTCTTAGTAGGCTCTTATTATTTATTTATAAAGTTATTATATATTTCTATTAGTTTTATCTATATTTAATTTCCAAGGCTATTATATATCTAGTATTCTTTATAGCTAGATTTAAAGTCTTATTTATTCTCTATTTCTAGATATTCCTTAATAGGGGCAATAATATCCTAGTTAGCTACTAGAAGCTCTAGCTTCCTAACTAAGTATACTTCTCATCTAGGGTATACCTATAAAGTACTTTTATCTCTAGTATAAAAGTATTATTAGAGATTATTTTTTTTTTAATATTTTTTGAATATTATTACTCTTCATTTCTTATTAGTCGGGGGTAGTATAATAGGTCTGGGTTATCTATTAGGAATTGAATCTTCTTATTATACTATAGCTATAATATAAGTTATTAGATTATTTAATTTTTTATTATTATTATAATTTAGCTTGGGAATTAGTTTTTAGACTATCTTTATACTATATATTTATCTAATAGCAATACAATTATCTATAATATTACTAATTACTCCTTTTTAAGTATTTTCTAAATTTAGTTTTAGGAGTCTAGTAATAAAATATCTCTTTTCTTATAGTTATTTATTAATATATTCTTCTTTTTTAAGAGTTTCTTCTAACTTATAGAAATTAATAGTAGGCAGTTAGTAGGTATTAGAAATTAATCTGCTATTATTATAGCTAGATTAAGCTATTATAATAATCTTAGATTAAATAGCAATTTAAGATTTACTATTATTATTATTATACTAGTAGTTAGTAAATTATATACTCCTATCTTTTAATATAAGCTTATACTTCTAATTAAACTTTAAGGTATAATACTTACTTTTAAAGTAGCCTATCTTTTTACAATTCTAGTATTTAATCTTTAAGTAATTTTTTTAAGTAGCTCTTAGTTCTATAGGTTTTAATGCTATTCTATAAGAGGTATTACCTTAGTATTTCTTTCTTAATTAATATTATTCTTCTTATTCTTCTAAGATAGTATATAGGATATTCCTCTTAACTTTTTAATTTTCTTTTCTTATTATCTTTTAAATTATTAATTATTAATTTCTATAGAAAGAGTAATAAAAATATTAAAGGTTATTAGCTTACACCTAACTATTATATCTTTAACTTCTAACTTAAGTCCTCTATAATAAGCTACTATATATGCCTCTTCTCTCTAATTTAGGTATAAAATGCTATTATGGAATTCTACTATATAGCTTAATATTAATACCTTCTAAATAAGCTTTTAAAGTTGTATTTTAGCTACTTATTTCTTATTAATAAGATTAAATGCATCTTGCAGTTCTTATTTAAATACTTTATAACTAGTATAAATAGCCCTAATTTCATCCTTCTATATATAATAAGAATTGTTAAGATAGTCTCTTATAACTAGTTTAAACTATTAGAGTACTTTATCTTTAAGAAGTTTTATAATGTAGCAGACCTTAGCTTCTTCTCTAGCAAATTATATAGAATAGTAGCTTTAAAATATTCTAATTTATATAAGAAATTCTTAAAGGCTAGTAGCTGCTTTATTAAATAAATTGAGTTGCTTAAGTTTAAGGATTTCTCCTATATCTTTTCTATTTACTATAAGAGAGTTTAAATAAGTAATATAATTATAGTAAAGTACTTCTTAATAAATAAAATCTTAGCTAAGATAGTTATTCTATATTAAGAGCTAGATAACTTATTCTATTAGCTTATTAATTTTATTATTCTTCTTTAAGTCTTTTTTAATAGAAATCTTAATAAGCTTATTAAGTTTAGCTTTAAGGCAATTATTTTACTTTTAGAGTTTATTAAAATTCTTTTTAGTAACTTTATCATTGGAGTTGAATTTATCTATATTTATATCGTCAATAGGATCTTAACCCTATATCATTAAATTAATAGAGTCTTTTCCAAATCTAAATAAAATACTTAGAGTTATAAAAGCTATCTTAGCTTATTTAGGATATTACTTAAATTAATATAATAATATACTAAATAAGAGCTATTAATATATAACAATTAGATCTAACCTAAGAGTATAGAGTAAATTTAAGGCGTATAATATATAATTAAGTAAATTAGGATATTATAGTAAGCAATATAGGTTATAATCTAGTAATAGTAAAATAGTAGATTTAATATAATTAAGTATATTAATAGCTAATAAGGCTATTTATTTATAAAAGTATTAAAAGAGTATTTATATATTAGTAGTACTTATATAGGCTTACTAAGTAAGAATAAGTTTAACCTTATAACTTATCCTAGGAAAGTAAGTTATATATTTGAGCTTACTTATACGGGGTAAGTTTGGGATTTATATTAGGTGAAAAAGTAAGTATGTTATAGTTCTGCTAGTTGTAACTGCCTAGTCTCAACCTAGGCTGTAATAAGTATTAATAGGTATTTATATTTTAAAGGATATTTATAATAGATATATTATATTCAGTACTATTAGAATAAAAATAGCAATTATTAGATTTTACTTTTATAATAAGCTAGATATATAAAGAGGTATTCTTCTTATAATAATTTATATTAGAATTATTATATTAAATATTAAGAGGAGGGAAATTAAATTAATAAGTAGTAAAAGTTAGAAAACTTTATTAATTTAAAGGGTAGGGGGGGTAATAAGATTTTTTAACTTAGTAATTAAAGCTAAACTTTAGTATTTTTATTCTTTTTAGCCTGGTATAGAAGTTTATAGGGGGTATAATTTTAAATATTATAAGTTCTAATTATATAAAGTATCTAATTAGGTGTATATATATTCTAAGTTATATATAATTTCTACTTTAAGTTTCTGTATATTCTTATATTAAAACTAGCTAAAAGGATATAATAATAGATTTAATATACCTAGGTTAATTAAGAGATAAGTAATTAATTAAATAGTTTGATTTTAATTAATAATTATATTAATAATCTTCTCTTTTTTTTTTTAAAAAAAAAAGAAGCTTCTTCTATTAATCTTACTATTTATAATATTAATCTTGCTACTTATAATTAAAATTAGGATATTAATATATTAGAGGATTATATTAGATGAGGCTTAATTTAATATATAATATTAGATTGTAGTATATAAACTTAGATATATAAGTAGTTAATATATATTTAATTTAAACTTTTTAACTTTTTTTTTAAATTTAACTTTAATTATATAGCTTAATAATTTTTTAATTTTATATTAATTTAACTTAGCTATTATAATATAATTATATAAAGTTTTTTAACTTAATTTTATTATAAATTAAAGCTTATATTTTTATAGTTATATTATAAGATATACTTAGCTTATATATATTAAAAATAAGAAATTATTTTATAACTTAAAAATATTAAAAAAGTTATTTTTTTTTCTTTTTTTTAATATAAATAATTTAATAGTAAAAAGAAAATATTTAATTTATTAACTTATTTTAAAAGAAATATATATAAAATTATTATATAGATATTTTAGCTAATTAACTTAAAGTTATATTAAATTATATATATAAAAATAAATTAATTTAAAGCTTATACTTTTTAATAGAAAAGTATCTTATAAAAAAATATATTAAGTTAATTATAAAAAATCTTATTAATAAAATATTAATAGAGTTTATAATAGCTTAATATTAAAAAAATATTAAAAATAAAAGTTAAATAAGAAATATAATAATAATTAAAAAATAAATTTAAATAAATTTCTTAAAAATAAAAATAAAAATTAAATAGATTTTCTGGCTATTTTAAGTTTTTATAGCTTTTTTAACTTTTAGAAAAAATCTTGATAAAAGTAAAAATTAATATCTTTTTTAAAGTTATTTTTAATTTTTTCTTTTAACTTTATTTGATTTTTTTTTAAATATCTCTATTAATAACTAACTAATTTAAGTATTTTTAATTATCTATTATAATAATATTCTAAATTAAATAGTTAAAATATAATTACTAAAAAGTATTTATAAACTTTTTTTATTTAATTATTTAATTTAATTTATCTTAGCTTTTTTAACTTAATTATATAAAACTATTAATTATTTAACTTTTAAAATAACTATTTAAGCTAGTTTATTAAGTATTTTAATATAATTATTTAAATCTATTATTATTAAATTACTTATATAACTATTTAATAATTTTAAATATATATATATATATTTATTAAAATAAATTATATATATAATTATATATATAATTAAGTAACTTTAATTATATAAATAACTATACTAAGTATAGCTTAAATAGAAAGATAGTTAATAGTATATATAATATTTCTAACTACTATAAAATTAGCCTAAATAATAATATAAATAATATATATATATATAGGCTCTTAATAACTAAAATACTAAATATACTGCTTAAATATAATAGTATTCTATATCTATTATTACTCTTAGAGGCAGTTAACTTAAAATTACACCCTAGGTCTATAAGTAGAACCTTAAGATTACTGCCTTTTCTAACTAGCTAAGAGCTTAGTAAGCCCCTGCTAACTTAGGCCTAAAAGCCTTTTAATTCCATATATAATACTATAGAGCTCTGATATTCTATACCTCTAATTTAATAGTTATCTACTTAGCTTTTTACTTAACTATCTAAGGCTGCTATCTCTAATTAGGTATAGTTAGTATCAGTCCCCGCATTCCTATTTAGGCTTAGCTAGTCTTAATTTCTTTAACTTACTACTTTAAAGGATAGTAATAAATGGTCTGTATGTGCACGGCTAAGGTTCGGCTAAGGAAGTTCATACATATCTTGTGGAGTAAGAGTCTCCTCGCCCTGTTTGCAAATTGCCTCAATCACAACACTGCTCGCGATGGAGAGTTTCAAAGCCATGCCTTGTCCGCACCGACAGTTGCGTGCCGAAAACAACCTATTTTCTGTTTCTGAGGCGCTCTCTATATATTTGACTAGCGCTCAAGATTGCGCTGATTGCTTGATAATTCTTCAGGCTATCGAGGAGTTGAAACCAGGATGGACAGCCGACAGGAATAATCGTCAGGCCACAATTGAGGTTGTTCACATCGTCGGTAATAAATTTGACGTCCCAGCTACTATTCGCCTACTTCAAAACGACGAAACTCTCCTCGCATTCCAAGTCTTTCGCAGTTCGAAAGGTATGGTACAGCTATCTAGTTTCAAATCTCCAAATTAACTCTGCTTAACTGTCCTATTGCCAGCCGAGCCCATGTATGAGGATGTTCGAAAACCCGTCGGCAAGACTATGCTCTATCAGACGTTGCAGGTTTCCAGCCATTCCCAATCTCACGCTGCTTTCGAAAGGGCCTCAAACTGGCTGTCATACTGCCTTGAACACGACGATGGATGCAGAGCTCCCAATCCTGATTTTCGTCCTCGCCGCCTTATCGATGTCAGTTCTGCAGGAAGCGGTCGAGAACCATTCCTCGTCGACACGGTCGAATCTGGACCATATGCCTGCTTGAGCTACTGCTGGGGACCAGACAGTGGTGGTGTCCTGAAAACGACAAATAGCAATCTTGAAGCTCACCACAGAGGTATTCCACTTTCGTTACTCCCGACCTCGATACAGGACGCCGTGACAGTATGTCGTGGACTCAGGATACAGTATCTATGGATAGATTCATTATGCATTGTCCAAGACAACAAGCATGACTGGCTCCGCGAGTCGACTCAAATGCGCGACATCTATCTAAATTCACTTCTTACAATTGCCGCAGAAGAGCCAGCGTCCTGCAGGTCAGGCTTTTTGGGAGAGCAGAAATTCGGGAATACTCAATGGCAGCGGCATCTCGTCACCGACGCATCCGAGGAGGATCTGTTTATCAGACCACATGATCCCGAGACATACCTGCGGCGCTCTAAGCCTTCACTCGACAAGCGAGGTTGGTGTCTCCAAGAGAGCATTTTGCCTACCCGAAGACTATGCTTCAACGGCGACGAGATTACCTGGGAATGTCTTGGTCGAAAGATCTGCGAGTGTGGCCATACACTATGGGCCCCGGACTTAAGTTCACAGAGCGCACCGAGAAAGCTACCGTTCAATCAACCCTACCAGGATTGGAGAGCTCTTGTCGAACAATATTCTGATCGCTCGCTTACTAACAAGACGGACAAGCTAAGCGCAATATCTGGTCTGGCCAAGATGATAGCCGAAGCTCAGCGAGATACGAGAGGAGATATTAGCACCTACAGGGCCGGTTTGTGGATGCGGGAATATATATCTGACTTGACATGGCGCGTTGTGTCGTTCGCAACATCCCACGACACTGACCCCTGGCGAGCTCCAAGTTGGTCATGGGCCTCGGTTGATGGATCGGTCCGCTACGGATTTGACAGAGTTATGTCGACCTGGAAGTACAAGCCCATACAGACAATGGCTTCTAATGTAGACGAGGTTGTCTGCAATACTTTGATGCCATCTGATCCCGCAGGGCCTATCACGGCAGCTCACGCCATCTTGACGGGACCTGTTGCAGCGGTTGAATTAGTCACTCTCGATGAGACGTCGTCCGCGGACTGGAGAAAGAGACATCAACAGGGGTCTTTCTCCGATTCGTCTTGCGATACAGTGTCGCTCGTGCGAGCTGAAGATCTGTGCAGTCTTCAAGTCTTTCTAGACCGTCCAAGAAACGTCGACCTTAGAACACAGGACTTTGGGTCAGACTGTTGGGTGAACGGCAGGTGTATGTGTGAAGGCTGTTTCTTTCACCCAACGAGACTGAACGATCCCCAGATCCTTGGGGAAGAGGAAAAACGCGTCTATTGTCTGAAACTCTTTACCTGGACGGCTTCTGGTGGCGTGGACAACTCAGGCGGACTAAAGAAGATGCCCCCAGAAACGTGGTTTCTTTTGCTACGAAGGCTACCTACCGGTGGAGAAATCTTGGAAAGAATTGGTGTCGGTATCTGGGAATCGCGGTTTGATAGGAGGAAGCGGGGAAAGCACTCAAAGGAGGAAGAGTGCCCACTGTTTATAGGGTGCGATGTTGCTACAGTCAAGATTGTCTAGTAGCAATTAACACGTGCTGAGGAGTAACTCTCTCTTGAGGTTCATTGGCTATGACGCGAATGCTTCGGCAACCGGTAACACATTGGGCGACTGAACGCAGCGAATAGCCCGGCATCACTTCACAGCTCGCTAAAACCTTTTAAACCTGAACAGTGATGTCTTGCGGCCACGTGGATTTCGAAATTCTGAAAGTGGTAGAGTCTTAATCAGAGCTGGGTCCCGACTTGTATAGAGAACTAATTCCCTGCCAAATTTTCTCGCCCCCAGAATCTATGTTCCCAGACCGCAGTTGCAGGCCGTAGGGGGCAGGTCAGAGGGCGACTGAAGAGACCACCATGCCTGTATGTCATCTACCTTGGGCCTAAGAGCCTGTTGTTCTTGTAGCATTCTCCGACACAACTCCAAGACAATTGGCTGCCACACAGGTCTCGAGGGAGCATCCTTTAGTGAGTCCATCCAATCACCTACTTTCTGTATGCTCAGGGCGTAGGACTGGCGGCCGTCGACCTTCAGAATGCTTCGAAACTCTCCAAGCTTCTCTCGTCCCTCCCCCGAGTACGAACAAACAGAGAGCATCTCCAAGAACACTGCGCCAAGAGAAAATATATCCGCAGACCGGCCGCGCGTGTGGCCCTGTTCGACTTCAGGCGCACAATACTCCGGCGTTCTGCCTCTAGGTCTCCCAAGAATTGTTGTTGGAACCGTGATTCCGAGTCCCATCATAGAGATCCCAAAATCGCTCAGAAGAATTGTTCCATCCTTGACGAGAATGTTGTGAGGCTTGATATCCCGGTGTCGAATTCCACGTTGGTGGGCGTAGGCCACTCCGCTCAAAAGACACCCAAACCAAGTGGATATCTTTTCGGCCGCTTCGGGCGTTCTGTTGAAGAGATCTCTCCAGGTGACTATCTGCACGGGGATCCATGACGATTGCGTAGTTATCGTCGAATAAATATGTCGTGACAAGCTTCACAATGTGATGATGGCTAGCCTCCCTCAAGATCTCAACTTCTTTTTCGATTTCGAGAAGCTCAGCCTCTCGGCCGGCGGGATCCTCGACGAGGACAATGGTTTTCCGGGCGTAAACGCGATTCCGGAATGGGCCGGCAAGGCCCAAGACCTCGTCGACAACTCCAACTGCACCGCCACCAATAAGTTTGATAGATTTGAAAGGCACCGCGTCCACGTCGTTATAACGGTGATGTTGCTCCATGATCGTGAGGCTCTCGAACATCGATGTACGCCAAGGTTGGATGCGGGACTGTGAAAATGAAAGAAAAGAGGGGTTGGGCCGGCCCCGAGCCGAGATTCGACGACTTGGCGGCCTGACAGGCCGGGTGAACCAACAACCTGCCCAGAGATGAGATGGCTCCTCACTGGTTGGTAGAGCGGAGACACTAGCTGCATTGGAGGATCAGCTGAGAGATCCTTGTACAGTATTCGCAGCGGAACTCCGGGGAGACCCGCTGGTCATGTCGGAGGCTGAGTCGGAGGTGCAGTTCTTAGGCGGATGTGAGAGTCTTGAGCAGTGAACAATTTCAGACATTTTCACTACCTACAAAGCGTATTTATTATAAAACCCAGTCACGAGTAGTTTCCACCCACGGAAACACGGGAAAAGGCCTTTGCGAGCCCCTATTGACACTACCTAATCGGTATCAGACACGACGGTGGTGGGCAACGGCCGGCTTCCGGCCATCGCCCATCCCAGAAATACTCTCCCCACGTGCCTGTGCCCGTTGATATCCGCCTTGTCTAATGCCGTCTGTCCTTTCTGATTTTTGGCATACGCATTGGCGCCTGCATTGAGCAAGAGACCCGTTACTGCTGCGTACCCCTTACCCCCCGCCTTGTGCAGTGGCGTCTCTCTCCCGTCGTCGTCAGGGCCTGTATCTAGACCACTGTACGCTAGCGCTTCTTTAAAAGCCTCGCCTTTTTTCTTTGCACCCTTTTTCCTCACCCATTTACCGCCTCGATTCTTTACGTTCGGAGAAGCACCATGCTTCAGAAGCATGTCAACCACTTCCAGGTGTCCGTTCTCGGCTGCCTTGTGCAGTGCCGTCTCATTTCCAAAGTCTTTCAGGTCTACTTTGGCTTTTCCCTCGAGAAGGCGTTCTACCACCTCCTTGTGTCCATGCCTCGCTGCCATGTGCAAGGGAGTGACCTGAACAATATCCGCCCAATTGACCTTCGCGCCGCCCTTGATCAGTTCCCCTACTGTCTTGGGATGCCCTCTTGCAGACGCCTCAAATAGAGGTGTCCTGTTTTTGGTGTCCCAGTCGTTGATATAAACGCGAGCCTTCAGTAATAAACTGATTTCCGTCCAAAGCCCGGCGCCAGCTGTTTTATACAGTATAGTTTGTTTGTTCTCATCCTTTGCGTGAGGATTGGCACCTGCTACGATCAGTTCCCGCATTGCCCAACCACGACCTCGACCAGCTACTATTGAGAGAGGTGTCTCCCCTTTGGCATCCTTAGGATCAATAAAGGCGCCATGTTTCAATAGAGTGTTGTATACACCATCCTTGCCGTTGGCTGCTGCTGCGTGTAATGGCGTCCAGCCTTTGTTGTCCATCTTATTGGCGTCAAGTCCGCTTTCAAGTAGTACTTGGCAGAGGTCGTCGTAACCAGCTGAGGCTGCCTTGTGCAGAGTTGTCCATGCTTCTTGGTCTTGATCCTCGGCAAAGGCCTGGTTGTCGAACAGGAGTGCCATCATCTCATTCCGCCTTGCTTCTGCCGTGTCTCCATCACCTTTGACAGCGTCGTCGCCGGATCCAAATCTACCGTGACTCATCGCCAAGGCAAACGCCTGAGTCCTATCGGTTACTGTAAAGATCTTGATATCGTTTGCTAACATGATCTTCACGGCTGCCTTGTTGCCTCTTTTAACAGCGAGGAGCAGCGCTGCAAACGAGATGATTTTCGCCTCATTCAGAAAAATTGTGACCAGATCCTCGTATCGATTCTCAGCAGCGGCAACCAGAGCCTCGGCGCAGGTGATTACTCTCCGAACTTCCAGCGAGGCCACTCTTGATCCTGCGTAGATGAATGGGGGCACACTTTTCCAAGCAAACCGACCCGGGCCATCGTATCGAAGTAAGGCCTGCACCACCCCTTCTCTCCTTTTCTCAACCGATGTGCCCAAGGCAGTCAATCCACGCCTGTTTGTTATGTGAGCGTTGAATCCTTGGTCCAGGAGCAGTTTTACCAGGAGATCGTATCCACCGCCTGCTGCGGCATGCAGCGCGGTATCTCCTGCGCTGTCTTGTGCGTCAATTTTGACCCCACGTTCGAGTAACAGCTGTACTGTTTCTTTGTTGCCATTTGCAGCGGCCTTGTGCATCGCCGTCGAGCCTTCTGAATCCCCCATGTTGACATCGGTACCGCGTTGCAAAAGCAGCCGGACTACTGGTATGTGTCCGCGCGCGGCAGCTTTGAATAGAATTTCCTGAAGCCAGCCAGCACCCTTATGGTCGTCGGTCTTGGATTCAAGCAACAGCTTGACTATGGCTTCGTGTCCGTTCTCGGCCGCTTTTTCCAAGGCGACTGACATGTCATGAGGCTTTTGCTGAAGGAGTAACTTCATAACATTGTCGAAACCATTCTCAGCTGCCGCTGACAACGCAGTCTGTTTCCCTGGGCCTGCCAGATTTATGTCGGCACCGTGCTCCAGCAATAATACGATGATGTCTTTGTGTCCTCTCCTCGACGCCTCACACAGCGCAGTGATTTGGTCATCATCTTTCTCGTTGACGTCGACTCCATCGTCCAGAAGGAGCTGCACGATTCTTTGAAATCCACCCCGAGACGCCTTGTGAATGGCACCATGTCTATCCAGAAGATGATGATCTCGCTGAAGAAGGTCTTCCACCATGTCCTCCAAACCTCCTTCTGCTGCTGCAACCAAGGTTTCACTGGGGCTGAGGACTGCACCACGGTCAATCAAAAGCTCACTTGCCCATGTCCAACCCTTAGCATAGGCTTTTTTAAGGTCGTGATTGAGTTTGAGTTCTTGAACCAGCTCACTCGGAGTGCAGCCGCAGCGACCTGGTGGCATGGCTAATGACCACCGTGCCTTGACGTCGGCGGAGCTGGGTCGTTGCTCAGGCTTTAAACCGAGCATTCTGCGGCAGGTAGAGATGACCTCCAAGTGCCAAGGAGACGCGCCATGGGGACCAGGTAACAAGTCGTCTATCCAATCGACAACCGGCGACGCATGTTTCGCATAAGCGAAACCGCCAGGGCTCTGTATGCGACTCCTTAATTCGACAAGCATACTTTGATGGAAATGGACGCAAATCAACTCTAGCAATACCGCTCCAATTGAGAAGATATCCGCTGCCTGGCTGCGAGTGTGTCCTTCCTCAACTTCTGGAGCGCAGTACGCTGGTGTCCGAGCACGGGGCTTATCCAGCTCAGTCGTACGGGTCATACCCGGACCCACAGTCGATATACCAAAGTCGGCGAGAAGAACATTGTTATCGTGGATGAGGATGTTGGTCGGCTTGATATCTCGATGTTGAATGCCTAGTTGATGAATGTGATCGAGGCCGTTGATAAGGCATGCGAACCAATGCGAATTCTCTTCCAGCTTGGATTTAGTCAAGGAAGCAGCAGATTGAAAATACTGCTCAAGGTTTTGTTGAGCGCAAGGGGCCATTACGATGGCATAGCTGTTTTCGCATAAGTACGTTGCTATCAGCTGTATAACATGCTGATGGTTAGCACGTTTAAGGATATCGACCTCGTTTTCGATTGCCCGCAGCTCGGTTTCTCGATCCTGACTTTGGGTGGACTGGTTGGATAGCTGGATCCTCTTTCGTGCAAAAATTTGGCCCGTAAGTTGCCCCGCAGTTCCTGTCACTTTGTCCACGGCGCCGACTGCACCGGTCCCTATCCAGCCAAGATGAGTAAAGGGAACATCAGACTCTTCCTCGTAGTTGGAATGAGACGAGGCTGACATGTTGAAGCTGCGACAGAAATGTGGTCTTTAGAAGTGATTTAAGACGAGAAGGATCTGGCGGGGGCAGTCGCATACTTATTTGTTTAAGTACCGCCTGGCGCCCAGCTTTGGGGCTGAGACAAGAACGGCAACTGGCCAATTACGGTCATGCTGCTACCGCCCTGCGTGCTTGAGAGTAATGAGTTGGAGATATCAACACTAGCTAACCCTAATTGGGAATAGCAGCCTCAGACAGTCAGCCTTTCATATGGAGATTTTGGGGTCAGGGATGACGGGCTGTTCAGAGAACAAAACTTTATCAGAACAAAATAAAAATAAAACCAGTTATAGAGTGAGAGAATCGTAGACGAATGAATCTAGTCCTATATTTTTCACTACCCGATGACACAAGTTATTGGAGTTTGGAATAATTGTCGGATTGAAGCTCGACAAAATGATTGCTGACATAAGAATGTCTTGGCTCAGAAAAAGTCCGAAGAGGAAAGGCTTCGACCCACTGTAAAGTCTTGGCTCAGAAAAAATCGAAAATGGAATAGTGCGAACCCGCTCGAAAAGTCTTGGCTCGGAAATATTCAAGAAAGGAATAGCTTCGTACCCTGGCGGGCTGCATATCTTATCGCGTTGTTTGGTGACAGGGTCCGAAACTTGCTGCCTAGGAAAAAGCAACGTCGCAACAGGATAATTACAATAAGTCGCCCAGCCAGTTTGAGGCTGCTTGATGACGGTATATTTACAGCGGACTCCTTTGAGAAAATCTCGTACAAAACTCTCCCGTACTCCCTAAAGCTATAGGGCGCCAGGCGGAGGCCGCTCTGGGGCAGATTGGAAACAGGTGTAGCTATGTATATCTGACAAGGCTGTGGAAGATTTTGCTGTTGATGGCCCAGGGCACGATCTTTGGGTCGTACCTCCGTATGATCAAGCCACCAAACTTTCGTCTCTCGAGGAAAACAACTGCCGAAATTGCCTCTCAATATGATGCTGACTGTGTTATACACTGCCGTGATCCCTGAAAGCCACAGTAATAGAATGGTGACTGATAATTTCCTCTGTATAAGGTGTAATTTTCGTTCATCTTCTCGCGCAGATGCGATGGTCTCTATTTGTATTCAGTTATTCCCCACAATACTGCCCCAAAACTTGATTTACTTGCTTGCAACCAAGTCAATCGACAGAACGTTCGTTCACTACATCAATACTATTGCATTTATCTGTATCTGATAAGCTGTCCTTTTCACTTTCATCACTTTTGCCTTTCCCGAACAAGCATGCCCGATAAACAACAGCCGAGACGCCGAGGGCGGCCTAGAAAGGTCCAGACAGAAGAAGAACGACTAGCGGCGCAACGCATACACTCGAGAACATATCACCACCGCCGATTACAACAAAAAGATATGGCCTCGAACCTTCATATGGAGTTTTACCAGCACGTCCCTTACACTCCGGCCACCTCGTCGGCGGAACTTGAAACGCCGGGTTCTCGTATAGCCCTGGACAGCTTCGCTATACCAGCATCGAGCAGTCCCAAAGATTCAGATGATCCTGACCCTCCTTTGGTCGGTGACTCCATGTGGAATCAGGATCATGATGTCTTTCGAAATAATGACCAGAATTGTCCGTCTGATGTGGACAGCACGACTAGTCGTGTATCCGCTGCTTCGGAAGAAAATGATGAGATCTATGATACATCATCACTCCCAAACTGTTCAGCTGGGGAGGGAATGCATCAACCTGACGAGAGATTGCAGGAACTCCTAGAAGCAGTCGAGAAAAGCCTTCGTATCTCGACGTTACCAGCCCAAGGTATCTTTGCCGAGTCCCTTTGCGTCGCGTCTTAGGGTTGCACTCAGGACTTGCCTTAATTACTGATTACAACCATAGCTGATGAATGCGACAATGAAAACAATGAATGTTATGACGGCAGCGATTCCTTCGAGCGTCTTCGTCAACACCGATCAACTCCCGATGACTCAGTTCCCACACTTGAACAGTACCTTGCCCAAGAATGGGCGGCCCACCCGAGCTGCTCAAGCCAATAACATACAGCAGATCACGAGGAATTGGCCAAGAACGAATTCCATTACTCCTGCGACTCTCTAGACGATGTTGTTGCTCGGCTAGATGGCTTGATTGATGACGACTATAGCCACCATCTACTCCTATATGTTACAGATCCTTCTTCTGATCTTCTTAATCACGCCTCTCGGCCTAAGATTGCCTATAATGGCGATACTCATCCGGCCGTGGGGCATCTAATGGACCCGTATTGTTATGATTATCGGGCGGCTTGTTAGATTGCCTTGGAAGGATCCCTTAGTGGCGGTGCACTGCTAAGCCTCTGCCTCCCGACAAGATACGGCTTTGATAAGTTATTTGTAAATGACCTGATTTAGAAAACCTACGATATTGATAGTATTTGTAGTTTTTCCTCTTTCTTAGCTGTTGCTAAATTGGGTATTTAATGGTATCTATAGCCCTTTGCTGTCTTTAACTATACCGACGATGTATATCTTAACATCGATGTCCCGAGTAATAGTTTCACCCAAACTAACTATCGCTTCTAGGAACCCTTTTAGCAACGACTCCTATACTATGTGCCTAACTATTGCTTTAGCTGGATTTAAGGTTTGATCGATATATTTATTTGGGTATTCTTCCCAGCTCTATGTCCCCAGCACGTACCGGATAATCTACTTAAATATATCTGTCTTCCTAAGGAATACTACTTGTGTTGGTACGATTAGGTTCTATTGCCAGCTATTACTGTAGCAGTATAAGACTCAAATATACTCCAGTACATACCCAAAAGCCGCTATATCGCCCAATTTAATTCCCGCGCCCGACAAGAGGGCATCTCTACGGAGCGCCTCAAGGATGGGAATGCAATACCGACATCCTCGGCTAAGGCAGGAGGACTAATACACTTTCTTATGTTCTTTAACAAAGATACCTTGGTGCTATTTGGCAAGGGGTCCAATCTTGTGTAGTGGCATTCCCCTAATTTGCCGGCATAAGGCTGTATATGGGGGCTAAGAACCTGAAACTTGCCTATATGAATGCCGATCTTATGTAGACTATCCATGACTAGCGTAACTAATAGAATGCTGCTGTAGACTAGATATTTCTTGACCCCTGTATTATGTATATTAATATTAGTTGTTAATATACCCCTTAAATTGGCTCCGTTGCTGAGGCTAATGTGCTTTTATGGCGGCAATACTGTCTAAAATGCCTTTAGCGATAGCAATAGGACTGGAGTCGTTATTATAATGCCACGCACTCTGATAAATAAAGATCACCTGAAAATTCAGAGCTACTTAAGCCTGGATCCATTCCCCTCCGTCCCGCTGAGTACCCTAAGCTTACGATGCGTGACGCGGTGGATATGACTATTAAGCCTACGGACGGGAGCCGTGAGGTTCTCGAAGGTCTCGTATACAGCCAGTTCTACAACCCCATCAAAGTTCCTTTTGACGTCGCTAAGCAATATCCATTCCAGAACCGCCAGCTCGAAAAGATGGCCCTAGATCCTGCGTATCTAGATGATTGTGAAGGATCTACCCGTGGGAGCCATGCCAACCAGGCCTCTCTCAAACTTGCCTATCGCCTGAGCAAGCTGCGTGTAAGAGCGAGCTTAGCTCCGGATGGCAGGGACGGCGTCTCGGTCCCGTTCACTTACGGAGTTCGAGCTGAAGATCGCATATCTTTGGCGCTGCTCGAGCGCGTCGTCTTACACTTCGATCCTTCTCAGCCGACGACACAGGCAGGCTGTGATCGGCCGCCCCCGGATCGGGAGTCTCCGTTTTTGCCATTCAATCAAGAACAATGGCGCGCTTTTTGCACGGCACTATCAACAAGTATTGCTTTCTCTTCGAGTACATTCAATCCCAAACTGCAGACAGATATTCCCTACCTGAGACTATCGTCATGATCCTGGCACTTCGAAGCTTGCGTCTGAACATGTCTGGAATCATCACCAAAGAGTCAGTACTATGGAGAGCGTCGGAAGTCGACCCGGCAAATTGCTGCACAAGATGCCCGCCCACAGGACCGTGAGGTTGAACGAGAGGGCCTTGGCTTGTGTAAAATCTCAAAATATTACGGGCTAGGTTGGTGGCTCTCGGGTAAGTTTGACTGGGATAATTGGCGCTTCAAGGACGATGTTGGCGACCGACTAATGGTGGGCAATGATATCCTACAGGGTGAATATGGTCGACAGTGGAAGGTAATCCGGGACATCCGCGACGTCTATGTGCGGATGTGGCAGGCGCACAAATGGGCTCAACAATACTCCGTACGACAGTTGCCAAAGAACCGATGCGTCTGGCTTGAGTATCTGTGTAGTACGGTCATCGAACTCTTTCAGTGTGATATGTGGCGGGCAGCAAGGAAAAGTCTTGACTGGAAGGGCGGCTCCGACCTCACGGACGAGGCAGCTGCTCAATACTCTGCAACTCAACCTCCGCCGTACTGCTATGATGTTCTCCAGAGCTCCTTCCATGACCGTCGTCGCAACATCAACCATACCCGACCCCATTTCCTGACAGGCAACAAAATCCGCTTTCCTCACGTGTGGGACCTCGTCTGTGATCTTCTTGGGTTCGACCTCCGTGATGGTCACTTGGAACAGCGGAAGGGCCTACAGTCAATGCCTTACCGCATCGCTGTCCGGCGTAGTATCGAGCTGATCAGCGATGTGTTAGGCCATGCGGAGGCGTGCGTGTGGTTCATGAAACTTGGCCATCTCCTCCTTCTTACGCATTGGATCCTTCCTTGGCCTTCGAACACTGAATTCATCTCGACTACGAAGGTATCGAAAATGCCACGCTTGACGCAATGGCTAGGCGTCAAGAAAGCATTGCCAATACGGGCCGCAAAGACCCAATTGCTATTGGGGTTCAAGCTACATTCTGGGTTGGTGCTGGAGCCTATGAATATATTGGCGACATTAAGACCATTGAGTACAGCAGCGCGCCGAAAGCCGTACGGAAGTGCATGGGCAATGTTTCAGTTGTCCTCCATCGCGACCACGGGACTCATGAGGCGATGGTGCGTTATCTAGTCAAGCAACTAGATCTAGAGCAGAGCAAGCATGCGTGGGAAGTTGTCTTCTCCGTCGAGAAAGGTGGCAGCGCGCCTGGACCAGCACGACTGCCCGAAAGGGCTTAACTGTCTCTGGGAGTAGAATAGAACTGGGAACCGGAGAGGGAGCACGTCGGCTGGCTGTCATTGATGAGGCTCTCCTGGTTGTGGAGCAGTGATTGTGGCGTACAGATTCTTGGTGGCTCTTCAAGTGCGGCGTAAGTGGCAGTGAAATTAAGGCGTCTTCTGTGGCGGTGAAGCAGGTGGCGGTGCTGTGTGGCGTCAGGGGTGGTGGTTCCCGAGGGGGCGGAAGGAAGAACCTTTCGTTCCGAAAGGCAAATCCCTCAGTGTGGAGTAAGAATTCACACCTGTCATCACACCCAAGGATCCTCGACTGCTTCAATTCAGCCATCTCGGAACAACCAAGAATGCAGCCTGGTCAACAAGAGTACCAGCACTTCATCCCTCAGTTCTTGCTCAAGAACTTCTCCCACCCATTCGTCTGCCCCAACACTGCCAGAACGCGGAAGAAATGCAGAAAGCCTCATCATGAGAAGAAAAAGCACCCGGGCGATCCAGTTCTTAACTGCTTGGACATATCGTCACGTGGCTTCTCCGTCCAGGAATATCCCGTCAGTCGCGTATGTGGCCTGGATGATATGTACATCAATTTGGCAAATACGACAAAGGATCGCCGCCGGTTAGAGGTCAAGTTTAGCAACTTGGAAAGGGATGCGAGTCAGATCTATCGCAGAATTGTCACTGCCTACGGATCTGGAGAGTCGCAAGTATGCATGACCAGAACCGAAAAGGACCTGCTGCGGAAATTTCTATTCTTGCTCAAGTACCGTGGATCGCAGTTTTATTGGACATACTACAATGCCAAGAGTATCAACGATTATAAGGAAGATGACAAAGAGCTCCTAGAAGCTTACATGAAGAAGAGAGGATTTCACCGACCCATAGACGTATGGCTCGAGTCTCTGGAGACTATCATCGACATCCACATGGACGCCGAGCGAACGTGGGAGCAGCACATCGGGAAGAAGATGTATTTTTCCGATGCTGAGTTTTTCATCGATCGAATAGGGGCCACGTATCTTGCCATTTGCACACCAGAGAATCCGGAAGACGAATTCATTCTCACAGACAACAGCTTCAATGTATATGAAGGCTATGTCACGGGCGTACAAGACGAGACGACTGGCAAGTTCTCTCAAACATCATATCCATTCCACGACTTTTCGACGCTATCTCCACGGTTGATGCTCGTTCTGCGGTCTACGTATCTTCCTGAGCCTCTCGAAGACGCCATCCCAGAGGTGAAGATGGAAAAGCGGAATCTGCGGATGCTCTATTCTACCTTGAAAGAGTCCAACCTAGAGGATCTTCCTGTACACAAGGCCGTTTGTGAAGACATGATGAAAAGAATTGCGAGGCGAGCAAATGAACCTGGATATGAACCGGTGTATCATCAGGGTGATAGGTTCTCCTTCAAGTTTTTCCGAATCCCCAACCGTCATGTGCGCTTGATCAACGGACTCCTACTCGACCATGCTTTTCATGGCTCTAGAATTGTTTTCAACCAGAAAGACGTCTTCCTGGACCAGTTGGAGTGGTTCTTGACGGATCCTCAGGCAGTAGGAAAGGTTCTGGACGACGAGAACAGGTCCGCTCGGCTCAGATACCTCCTACTCTTGACCAATTTTATGGCAGGTGAAGGGAGGGATATACAGTTGAGATGCGACCTGTCGCCAATAGAAACTACAACTGATGTGGAAAGTTCTCGGTTAAGGAACATAGCCTCGATGAGGATGCTCGAGGAAATGATGACTAGCAACTCCAATGATATTTGGACCTTTGATGGGATTTATAAGACGCTAGGTACGTTCATTGAATACGCGAACCCTACAGGAAGACTGAATCTCGAGAGCTAGGCGGAACACAAGCAACGCTTACCGAAGACACGGAACAGTCGATTCTGATGGTTTCCTTCGGGATTAAAATCAGCTCCTGGAGTCGTGGACTTTCTGAGACAGTTCGACGCAGGAATCACACTCGCATCCTGAATGCATATCAGCGCCTCCCGTGCAGAAGATTCTGGATGTACTTGAAACGAATTAGGTCCTTGTCAGCAGGGGTACTGGAGATGTTGTCACATGAGCATTTATCATTCCGCGACGACCAGAACTGGCGAGGGCCGGAAGATATGCTCACTTATGGTCAGTTAAATCATGACGACCGCCAAGTTTAAGTGAGATGAACTGAGCCATGAATAGCATATGCTTTGATCGAACCGTTCAAACTCAACGCCGCCATGTACAAAGCTTTTGAGAATCACATTGCCAACTTGAGCCTCAAGGAAAAGATGGTCATGGCGTATATCACGGCACAAAGGCATGACAACTCAGAAAACATGGCGGAGATGTTTGTGCAAGGCGAGTTCTGTACCGAAGAAAACATAGTTCTTATGAGACTAATAATATCGCTAATAGGGCCACGTCAGGCAAAATCATATTCGTCTGATTATGATGTGATCATAGAGGAGATCGACGATGACTACATTGTCGAGTCTAAGACACGACAAGCTCCGGTAGCTGGCGTGTATTCATTCCCTGGTGGAGATGAAGAGCTGATTCGTTTTGTATTCATCATCGTTGGTCTTCTTATTTATCTTATTTGGATCTTGTATCGGGTAACCTGTTGGTCTATGTGGGTGACAAAGCTCGGGTTCAGCTTGGCGTACCCAGACGATTTCGTCTTGTCTTAAAATGAGTAGCTTTCGTGCGTGCTCAGGAGCCTCCAGTGACAACTCCTCACGTTCGTTCTTCCTGTCTGTGGCTCTTCTCAATCGACGGGGAAGACATCCACTAAGATGACGGCCCGCCTCTTTCTCCTCATGTCCAGGACGAGCCTTTGTCTGAAGCTATATGCGAGGTCGAACCGGATATTGAACCCGACTTTAGGGTACTGTCTCTTCCTACATCACCCATTGCTCTCTCCGCTAGTGTCTCCAATGGTTCCCCGCCCGATGTAGAGCCCGGGTCCCGTCTAACAACCCCAGCGCAGCCGCCTTATCTGTCTCAGCGAGACGGTTCACCTTCCGAGTCTAGTTATTTATCTCGATTGATTTTAAGTCTGTTTGATTTATCTGGCTCTTTTACTCTATTAGCATTACTATTGCTATCTTCTAGCTTAATTAATTCGGTTCTTAGTAACTTCCTCTAAGCTATCTACAATTAGGAGATAGCAGACGGCACCAACTTTCTTAGGGCATAGAGTAATATATATAATTAGATACTTTAGGCATTTTTTAACTGTAAATATAACTATAAGTTATTTATTATACTTCTATATACTACTATCTATTTAATATAGAGATACTTATATTTAGCTCTACCTAGGCTAAGACTAATATAAGCTTATTAAGCCTAAATATATCTATACTCTTTAAGAATAAATTTAATATCTTGCCTACTCCCTTTCTCTCTTATAGGCTGTTTTTGCTGAGTGTAGGGATATATATAATTCTTATGCTTTTTTTCCCTACTAGTAAAGCTTTTTTTTTAACTAACTAGTTAAATTACTCTCTTTCTATAAGATATAAACTTCCCTCTTTTAGAATTCTATAACTATTGTATAGTAGTAGGATATTAATAGTATTTAATTTAGGGCTAAGAGCTTATTAACTATTTAAGTTTTTAATTAATTTTAACTTTTTTTTTTTCTATCTTATAAGAATAATATTTCTACTAATTAAATTATTTAGTTTTATAGTCTTAACCTAGTATATATATAGTATAGTTATATTGGCTTTTTTATTATAGTTAGTATTTACTTTTTTACTTTTATCTTCTTTTCTTATAAAGCCTATTTATAGATATAAGCTTTTATAAATAGTCTCTCTTTTATATAATTTAGAGATTTTTATAATAAGATAATCCTTCTAGCTATCTATAAAATAGTTTCTAATTATATTTAGTAGGAAATCCCCAGCTTCTATAACCTTATTTATATAAAATCTTATATTTATTAAGAAAAGCTAGCTACTAGCTATTAAAATACTAAAGATAAGAACTAGTTCTTTTACCTAGTATATAATATGCCTATTAATATCCTTCTATACTTCTAGATATTAATTATAAAAAAAGCAAATTTATATTAAGTTTAAATATAGTAAGGAAAAGATATTACCTACTTTTAGAATTCTTACTTACTTTTTTAATTTTATAACTTAAAGAATATATTTATATAATTAAGCCTCTATAAAATTTTTATTTTATTTTAAAATATTATCTTAGCTAATCTTAACTTAAGCCAGCTTAATATATACTCTTACTAGCTTAATATAGAAATATAAGACTATATTAATAGACCTGTATTATTATTATAGTTATAAGATACTTAAAGTAGAATTAAACTTTAAATACTACTCTAAAAAAGTAAATATTACTATTATTTTTATAAGAGCCTTTAAGATCTAATTCTAAAAGCCCTACTTAATATTAAATATTACTATTCTTTCCTCCTCTATAATATAAAAATCTATTATATTAAGATAAGATTAAGCTGGATTTCTAATCTAAGCTACTTAAATATTAAATTACCTAGTATTATCTATATTAAAGTATATAATTATAATAAGAATTTCTTTAGTATTATATTTAGTAATTACTAGCTTTTTAATTTAAATTACCTCTCTTTTTTTATTTTTAATAAAAATATATTAAAAGATTTAATAGAATAAATTAAAATTACTAATATACTTTTATACCCTAACTTAACTACTTCTATTTCTTATATACCTAAGATATTAATAAGCAGTATCTAAAAGCTATCTTATCTTTATATAGGCACTTAAATTTTAAAATCTAAAAAGAAATTATATTTTAATTTAATATTATTCTTACTATATAGGCTAATAGTATACTAGAGTCTAAGAGGAGTTCTTATATTAGGCTAATATTCTAGGATATTCCTCTTAATACTAGAGCTAGTAAGCTATACTATCCCTTTTAAGTTATTCTAATTAAAGTAATAATCTCTTTATATCTATATAAGCTACTTGCTTAATTCTTCTACTTAATTATATTTTCTAGTAGGTAATAAGAAAAGAAAGCAAGCAGCTATCCTTTTTAACTAACTCTATCTAGTAGATACTTACATTCTATACTATTTAGCTTTTCTATTGCCTTCTTGTTTATTTACTTAACGATAAGAAGGAGGAGTAGAATTTCAATAATTGGATTTGGCAGTCGGTCTAGACGGTGCCGACTTATGGCTCTAGCAGACGCTCTCTTAAGAAGCGGCGGGGTCTCGGCCTGAGTACCCCTATTAATACATCCGGGATGCTCTGGATCCCCTACGGCTATATTAACTGGCAGTGGGGTTATATATCGCTTGAGGTACTAATTAATTTATATATATCTTGGAGCCTGCTCTAGGCAAGGCTGGCTTATTAGCCTAACGTCCAGGCTCTTGCTACTACCTAGGTTACTGTTAAGCTTCTATTCTAATAGTTAGTTTATAATACCCGGGAAGCGTATAATTAAAAGTGCAATAAGAATATAGAAAATGATACTAAGGTATTAGCCCTCGATGAGGGAACCTAGTATTTGAATTTACTGCATTTTCGTTGCGCGTACGTTACAGTTGCCAAGGCCCAAGTTTTGGGTTTCAAGCTGCTTTTTTCTTCTCTGCCGGAATCCTGTCTAACTTTTTCGACTCTAACCTTGATGAATGTACTGAAAACTCCTACGACCCGACCTAATGCCTTGAGATCCCCAATGCCTATGATGTTCCTTATTCGAATCCCCCCTCTAGCCAGCACCTTATGTGGCTAGTATCTATACTAATCTAATATAATATAATAGCTCCTGGAATTAGAGGTTATATTAGGCTTTAGTAATATTCTAGAGGAAGATTTAACTTCTTAAATTAATATTATTAATATTTTTTATTAAGTTATAAAATATAGCTATTTCTATTTAAATATATAAAATAAAATTACTATTAAGAATTTAATTTTTTTATTTATTATTTTTATTTTTATTATAAAAAAGTAAATAATATTTAAAAATAATTAATATAATTTATTATTTTTTATTTAAATATTATAAATAGTATAATAATAGCTTAAATAGATTTCTTTTTAAAAAAAAAATTAAAAAAGAATTAATTTTTATTTTTTTAATTTATTTTTTAATTTATTTTTTAAATTTTAAGAAAATTTAAAATTATATTAAATATTATTTATATAATATAAATATAATAAATTATTAGTAATAAAAGCTTTTTAAATAAAATTTATTATATTTAAAGTTATTTATTATAAAATAAAAAATAAATATTTAAAAAAAATTAATTTTTTAATAATAAAAGATATTAATTTTTTTTATATTTTTTTACTTAAAATAAAATAATTATTTTAAGATTATTAATTATAAATAGTAAAATTATTAATTATAAATAATAAAATTAAAATTAAAGAAATTAAATAAAAGTTTTAAATAGAAT